GCATATTCTTTTGATGGCTGTTAATTTGTTTTATTTTATAGCTTCAATGTTTTGCTATGGTTAGGAGCTTCTTTCTGCAGGAGGGTATAATGTGCCCAGAACAGTCCATGAAGTTATAGCACAGCTTGCATGCCGCCTTTCTCGATGGGATGATAGGTATGAGCATCATTTCTTTATATACACACATGTTCTTCTTTTAATTTCTTTAAGCATCTTCTTTTTCCTTCTGCAGTTGTATACTTATTTTTACAGAGTGCTTAATTGAAAATTTCTCTTTGAAAAGAAGTTGACCCTTCACGATCCATCTTCATTGGTGCTATTCTTATTTCTTCACATTGATATTTTCTTTTGAGGTTTTGTTTTATTCATAACCAGTGTAAAACCATGTTATACCTCATGCGTAAACTTAATTGATGAATGAAAATTCAACAGATATGTAAAGGAAAGAAAAATAATTTTCTTTGCCTAAAGAGATGGACAATTTAATCAGATATAAGTTGGGGGAGAGCCATGCCAGATGATTTCAACACATGCAAAATATAAATTTAAATGTTAAGGGGTATGTGGTATGTATGTGAAGACAGTTACAAGCGAATGGCAGAGAACAAAATGCTTGAAATAGTTTATGGAACTTAAATCGTTCACCTTTTCTCATATGCGTTTGATGTGCTAAAGATAAGTGTTGTGAAAAAATATGGGTGATAGGTTCGTAGGAGGTTATGATGTTATCTGCACTTAAAGTTTATTCAACTTCTTTCATTTGATGCATGGATTGTATTGGTGGACTGTGTCTTAGGCCGCCCTTTAGAAAAGTAGTATTTAGAGTTGTGTAATTGGTCTTATGCTTCCATTGCTTGAGTTATAACTCAGGTGTAGGATTGCTATTAATTTCATTATAAACTTTGTAAGTTTTGTTACTTTACTTTGGCTTGACTTTTTCTTTTGTTATCCAGGCTATTCCGTAAATTTATATTTGGTGCAGCAGATGAGATTGAATTGAAGTTTGTGAACAGGTTCCCAAATATGCTTTATGTCATGAACTCAGGTCATTATGTCACTTTGAATGAGCTTTATACTAAAATCAACACTTTTCCATTTCACTAGGAGAAACCAAGAAGATATGAATCTTTTTAGTGTAATTCTTAATCAAGAAATCAGAAGGTTATCGAGACAGGTATGTTGGTTTTTGCTGGTTTGAAGTTACCTTTTTGGATGATTTTTTATTTGCTGCTTGATCATGTTAACACTTACTAATGTTTCTGATTAGTTGATTAGGAAAGAAGAATCCATTGCAAATAATAATTGATCCATTTGTCTTTAGAAACGTATAAGAAAATATGAGAACAGAGCATATTTGTCTCGGAAATGCGAATTGGCATTAGTTGTTTGATGTATTTTGTGGAAATGGTAATGATGGTAGGAGTGTTGCTAGAGTGAAGGTGAAAATGGTTGGAATTGCCATCGTGACACAAAATATCCATTTCATCAATGAGTAGTGTAGGTTGGATTTGATACAGAACGATTGATGTGACTGGAAGTGACGAATTGGAGGTTTTTTATTTTTATTTTTATCTTTTGGCCAATGCTTGGACAGCTCAGTTTGAGTGTATCACGTGTCAAGTGTAATGAAGACAGAGATATCCATAGCACATAGAAGCATCAAACGTACCAAGTATAATTGATTCTTACAGGTGGTTTGAAAGTCAAGTGCAAATCAAATTTAATTAATCAGGATTCAGCTTGTACTTTTTCTATATGTTCAAAAATGGAAAATGAGGCTACTATGACTTTTGTTAAGGATGAAAATGGTGCCATTGTAGTATTTTAGTATGAATTAACTTCAGCTTTTATACAGGAATACTGTTAGGAAGAGAATAAACAGTAAGCAAAGAGGAAGAGGAAGTGGGCAATGGGGCATCTTTCGTCTTGAAAGGGCTGTGGGCTCCATTGCCTTCGTCTTGGATTTTTTCCCAATTTTTATGACCTTTTTCGTTCTGTATCTGATTATTATCTCCTGGTCCAAGCTTGAGTAATGAATTCACTCAACCTTGGATTACTGATAATTGGCCTCTTAAACATGAAATACTGAGGCTTAGTTGCCTTTGGGATGAGGGAATATAGTTCTAACTGGTGAACAGTGCTTGTCATTGCTGTATTTATGATAAATGTTGAACCTCTTTACCCAGCAGAGGTATGTTGGAATAGCTGATATAAATGTGCTTTATAGGGAGTTACAATTCTATAATCACTGATAGAAGTATAAGATAATTCACTACTGGTTGATCTTTTCATGAATTAAGATGCTTACCATTTAATGTCCAACCGTGCCTCGAATAGGATTGCCTCTAATAGGATGATACCTATGAGTAATTAAAAAAAAAAAAAGATGGCGAACCTTTATTTTAGAAAATTCAGAAGAGTGTAATCCCAAGGGCACCATTTTTTGGCACGGGTGAATTTAGTTTTGAGAAGTTACAACTAGTACAAAAGTTAAGTATGAAAATAAAACTGAGAGATTGTATGATCATAGTAGTCAGTGAAACTTGAATTTGTATTAGCTGTTTTGCTGGGTTCAAATGTGAGAGTGAGAAAAAGATCCATATTGAATAGAATTGGACGAGAACAGGATTATATAAGTACAAAGGACATGTAGACCTCATGCCATAAAGTTTTAAAACAAGATGTAGTGTCAAGTCCATGCGCATATACTCCAAAAGTTCTATGAAGATAGTTCAATGAGGACTTTGCTAATGTCTTAGGAGCTAGGATTCTCAGGTCTTTAATATTGTTTATTTACTGCAGGTTATCAGAGTCAAGTGGTCACTCCATGCAAGAGAAGAGATTGTCTTTGAGCTCCTCCAACATCTGAGAGGAAGTGCAGCAAGAAACTTGTTGGAGGGAGTGAGAAAGAGCACGAGGGAAATGATTGAAGAGCAAGAAGCAGTTCGTGGGCGCTTGTTCACCATTCAAGATGTAATGCAGAGCAACGTTCGTGCATGGTTGCAGGTATTGATCCCAGAAAACCTATATATAGATATTGCACGTGCATCAAGTATCTAGAGTCCTTCGGATCCTGACTAATCTAGATAGAGCCAAGTCATACCACAAGGACAACAAACTCTCTCTCAACAAGTATTTAATACAGCCATATACTTAAGAATTCAAACTTAAGATCTTTGGTTTAGTTAGCATAGCTCCTAATCAATGGAGTGTTTAACATATATTTTAGGGATGCTTAGTTATCTTTTAGATCGGCATGCGACGCAGACATAGTTAACACCACAAAATGTGAGATGTCACGTCCAATTTAAGTGTAACTTATGTCAAACACAGACATGGTTTCTCCTTTGTAGTGGTCAAACACAAAATATGATATATTCCTGTCTGGAGGTTAACATGAGAACTGTTTTGTGTCTTGTTCATATCTCATCAGGATCGAAGTCTTCGAGTGACGCATAATTTAGCCGTATTCGGTGGTTGTGGCCTTGTCCTGACCATCGTTACCGGGTTATTTGGAATCAACGTCGACGGAATACCCGGGGCAGAAAATACGCCATATGCATTTGGTGTTTCACAGCAATCTTGTTCTTCTTAGGTCTAGTGCTGATCATAATAGGACTGATTTACCTAGGGCTGAAAAATCCCATCCCTGAGGATCAGGTTGAAGTTAGGAAGCTGGAGCTACAAGAACTGGTGAAGATGTTTCAACATGAAGCTGAGACTCATGCCCAAGTTCATCGCAAGAACGTTTCTAGGAACAACTTACCTCCTACTGCTGGTGATAATCTGGAGAATGATGCAGCAGACTACTTTATCATTCAACATTAAACCCTAAATCATACTTCATCCAATCTATAGTTGTCATAAGAATTATTTATTGATACGTGTATCACACGGGATATTTTCTAGTCTGATGGTAAAATTGTTGAAAAGGTAGATTATAGATTTCTTTGGTGAAAAGAAATAAAAAATAAAGATTATAGATTTCTAATATGTGTAAATTCAAATATATTTATGTATGTATATGCGTGCATGTGTGCACATGTACTGGGCAAATTACCATGATAATTATTAGTTTTCACTAAGATAATGGTTTTGATAATTTGCAAGTTACAGTGATATTACCATTTTTTTAACCATAAACGATGGTGACATAATTTAGAATTTCTCCATCGGCTAAAAATAATAAAAAAGAATTTTAAAAATTACGTAGAAGGACTAAAATAATTATAGATCAGGATTTAAAAATTATAAACAAAGACCCAAAAATTATATAAAAAAACTAAGAAAAATGTATTAGTCTTTTTATGTAATCTTTGAAGATTTTTTTTATTATTTTTGAATTAACTAATAATCAAAACTAACATTTGTTGATAATAAGAAATGGATGCACTATTTTGAAATGTTATAAAAAGAAAAAGTTTAGAGTTTCATGCATTCTTGAAATTAAATAATTTAAAGGTTAATGAGTAAATAAAATTTTAAATTTTTGTTCGAAAATCACCTTAAATTCAAAACTCTTAAAATATGTAAAATAAATTTTAAATTTTTAAATTCACAACAAAATAAACTTTGACTGTTAATTTTTTTAATACTATTACTATTTACATAGGTATTGTAATAGTTAAGGTTAAATTTGTAAAAAAAATAAACCCTGAACAGTACTTGCGTGAACAATGACGGTATTACAAAGTTAACGGTTAGTGTTTATTTTATTATGAATTTAATATTTTACATATTTTAAGAGTTCAAAGTATAGAATAATTTTTAAATAATAATTTAGAATCTTATTTGCTCATTAACTCATAATTTAAGGGTTAATTTATCATTTAACCCGTTATACAAAGTACAATTCATATTTTACATACAAAATTACTGTCAAATTCTTAAGGATTTCTGGGGCCCAAATAGTATATTTGTTGGGCTAACGCCTGGAAGTTTATTGAGTTCTTTGAAATGCATGGACAAGAGAACAGAGGCCCACCTGATAAGTAGAAAATTTGCGTGGGGGCGAAACAGGGAGGGAGTGAGAAAACGACCAAAACCGACGGGTTCATAAAAATTTGATCATCAAAATTGTGAGATTGTGTCGGATCACGAGAAGTCTACAGCCTGACTGAGAAATTCTCTCCGTTTTCCTTTTCCTCGGCGACGGTGACGGCGTCGGCGAAATTTGCAGATAATGTCTCCTCCATACACCGTAAGCTATCTTTCTGTGACTAACTCACCTTCGCAAAGTCAACTTTCGTCTTAGGACCTCGTCAGTTCACTGGTTTATATCATGGGGCTAATGATTTTTCGATTATTTTGGGTGACTCTTCTTCTGGATTATGCCAAACATTGGATTCCCTTCTAAATGTCATCTATGCTGATGATTTCACCTCACACACTTGATCTGTGGGTCGAATCATCAACTTTGCTTGATTATTGTTTCACTTGCGCTGTTGATACATGTTTGTGTGCTCAGCGATGTAGATCTGAGTTTGCTAATTAGTTTTATTTCGATGCCCTGAATAGATCATGTACAATTGATATTATGCAGATAAATTGAGCATGCCAAATGGATCTTACATGCCGATTTGCATTTGACTGTTCGCTATGAAACTGCGATTGTGGATTTTTTTTTTTGGTGGATTCCTATTTGCATGAGTTATTTCATAAGTGATCCATTGGTAATCAAATGGTCTGTTCTTTTCATTTAAGGGATCATACGGCACGCGGTTCACACAAGTAAAGTTTTTCTCTTAAACAGGAGTTGTTTTTTGGTCGTACTCTTAATAGTTTCCGTGGGGCTGGAATACCAAATAATATCCTATATCATTGATCCTCGTGTTGTTTCGAAAGATAAAAACCTTGAACATTCATGTTACATTTCAATAGGTTGCAAACAGTTCATCTGGCTATTCAGATTTTATTTCATTTTCACAACCTTCTGGATTATCTATCTTGATTAGGATCAGTTTCAATTGCCAAAAAAAAAAAAAGAAAAAAAAATCTTGAGATCTTGATCCTATGGGCAACTTAGCGCACTTAACTATATTTGTAGTTCTAACTAATACTTATAATAACTGGAAATCTAGCAGATCTGTGTTTATAATTTTTAATTATGCAGCCTATATATGTTATCTGTTTCTTAAAGGTTCCTGGCTGAACAATTTTCTGTTTATTTCTTGGCATGATATTTCCAGTTGTCCCTTGCTAAATAAAACTTAGGATTGATAAATTAATATATTATATGCCAAATGATGGACATAAAAATTGTTGATATCATAGTTGTTGGATATGTGTGGCACACAAAAACTGCAGAAGGGCCACTTGGAGCCATGCACATTATATATGAAATTGATGAATTTATGAAAGAAGAAATAGGTAGGAGGAAGAGTGCTTGTACACGTAAAACCCATGAAATGGAGAAAAAAGGAGAAAGAAGGATGAATAATAGATTAGAGAAGAGCAAACAACAATCAAAACTATATCTCCATGTTAATGGGCAAGGGCCACATTCCAGAAAAGATGGCACATGTTGAAAATGACTCAAGGTAACATTTTGAAATTTGTAAATCTACAATGCATGGCCCTGCTCTCTTAGCTCGTATGGCTGATACTGTTATGATCCATGTGCTTTACCATTCACACTGATCTAAAAGCGGTAAAAAAATGTTTGTGGTGTTAAAATGAAAACATCTCTTGTTACTTTTTCAGCACCAAATATTGTTGAAAATGATGTAACTTTGATCCTTTACCCTGTGCTTTTCTTAGGATTCATGTCCTTCTGTGAAAAACATCCTCCTTCTTGATTCTGAGGGGAAACGTGTGGCTGTTAAATATTACTCAGATGATTGGCCAACAAATAGTGCAAAGGAGGCTTTTGAGAAGGCTGTATTCAACAAGACGCAAAAGACCAATGCCCGAACAGAAGGTGGGTGATTGCTTCTCATTTTCAGGCAGCTTTTTGTATCACAAAGGAGTTTATTTACATTGTTCCCTGCCTCTTCCATTTGAGTTGGAACTTGTCTTGTGTTGGAAGTAGTATCATCCAATGTTTATTCTGACAAGAACAATTAGTTATCTTTTGTTTTTTTTTTAAATATATCTATTAGTGGAGTGGATTGTAATTTACAACTCTCTATATGAAGTTACTCTACAAGTTTATAAATTTCACTTCAATATCTTTGTGTTCTCATTTACAGCGGAAGTAGCACTCTTTGAGAATAACGTTGTTGTTTACAAGTTTGTCCAAGACCTTCACTTTTTTGTTACTGGGGGTGAGGATGAAAATGAGATTATCTTGGCCACAGTGCTGCAGGGATTTTTCGATGCTGTTGGCGTTCTGCTAAGGTTCTTTTCTTGTTCTTAACTATTTATATACGTACGTGTTTTAGCTTTTTTCTTGATTGTTGTATTGAGTACTGACTTGATTATCCCATCCCTTGTTTTTGTCCAGGGGCAGGGTAGAAAAAAGTGAAGCACTTGAGAACTTGGATCTCATTCTATTATGTATTGATGAAATTGCGGATGGCGGGTATGCCATATACATTATTATTGACATAGTAGTTAGAATCTGCCAATACCTTTTAATGCGCCCTCCCCCCGGTGTCAAAGAAAACAACCTCCAAAGTATAACATTAGGAGATTGATGAACAGAAAACTTCTCTAAACTTAGCAAATGCTTCGATCTGTTTGAATCCATGATATCAACCTTTTCTTCTATCAGATGATAAAATGTCCATAGTTTGTATTAGGTCACATAATCACAACAACATCGTTTGTATTCTGCCATGTGCATGGTGGCCTAATCAAAGCAAGGCTTAAATCTTTATTACAACATGGGTAACCAAGTTTCTGCTCCAAAAATGTCTTCCAAAATCTACAATGCTGACTACATCCCCACCCATAGTTTTTTTTTTTTTTATTGCCAACTGTAAAGAAATCAAATGATAATATCAAGTGAAAAGAGAGACAGATATAGTGTGTAGAATCCACATGTTATGGAGGTTATTGTTCAAATGGAACCCTCGCATTTTGTGCCCTTCTCAGTACATTTCATTGTCATGCGATACCCTGACATAAAATGATCGAATGGATCTTATGCACTCTTGAACGATAGTTTAATTGAAGGATTGAGGAGAGATAGATACACTATGTAGAATCTACTTGCTTTCTGGAGTTACATATTCAAGTGGGAGCCAAACCGCTTCTTGGTTTGTCATAAAGGCACCCTCCTATAATATGATGTGTGATATTACCCTCCTCCAAATGTCGTCTAGTGGAATCAAACTTGGGTTGTTGTTGGAAGATATTCTCTTCTCTTAATATTTTAGCTAAACCTTCTAGTTTCCACCATCATCAGCAGCTTTCACCTGCCACTGTAATTTCAGTCGTTATACATTCCATGGTGTTAAGAGTTCAGCTCATCTGTTCTTTTTTATGCAGTATAATACTGGAAACTGATCCAGATGTTATAGCTGGGAAAGTCGCGAGCAATAGTCTAGATTCTGCCACTTCTTTATCTGAACAGGTGCATTTTACAACTGTTTAAATTGTGTTTCAGAAAAGAACTGGATTGTGAGCCCTTCATGATCTGAGTTGTAATTGTTTTTCCTTCTCTTGCAGACAATAAGTCAAGCATTGGCTACAGCCAGGGAACATTTCACCAGATCTCTTCTTAAATGATCCCTATTATGCTGTTTGGCAAAAGAGGAGTCTCTTGCTCATATTCCTATCATGATAAGTTAACTGTGTCTTAAGTGCCTTCTCATCATCTTATTACTCTTGGTGTTTGGTTGGTTCTTTGAGGATCCTTAAGATTTGAAAAAAATTTCAGTCATTACTTAATTATTTTTCTTTTTTCTCAGTCAACTTGTAAATCCTAGCTGTTAGTGTTGAAGGTTTTGGTCGTTGAATTCTGACATGTTTAATTTGTCTGAAAATAAACAATGCGATACAGGTCAGAAAATAGTAGTTATTATCCTCTGATAAAAGGATTATGAAATGTAAACACAAAATATCTGAAGAATAAATCACTAAGCAAACCTAGAATAAAGTTTATGTGACAATCAAGCGATTAATATTTTTGCATGAGTGGAATTTATGGGCTAGAATATCTTGGTCGTCATCCATTGCTTTCTATTTGACTGTGTTCCAGGAAAGAATGAGTTTTTAACGTGAAAAATTGTTTTAGTGTATAGCTATGTATGTATGGATGGGAAGAAAATTTCAAAAGGAGGAATTAAAAGGATCGAAGAAAGAAATTTATGTTTGGTGGGCACCCTGAGTTAAGTGGAGGAAAATAACATCAAAATATTAGGAAAAATGAGATTGGAGGAATGAAAAATTATGTTTGATACAATCTGATACGCTGAAAAAGTCATTTTGTAAAAAGAACAGATGAAATCCTCATTTTGGATGTGTGTTTTCATTATGGAGAGTCATGTTTAAAAAAGAAGAATGATTTGTCTTTAAATGTGTCCTTCTTCATGCTTTGAACAAAATGAGAATTTTTCAAACATGATTATTGAAGATGTGTAATCAAATTAGAACTTTCATAAAATAAGAGCCAAAAAAATTCTGAAAAGACCGAAAACATCCGATCAAGCACTGAGGTTTTTTTGGAGTATTATTGATATAGAGCATCAGATAACAGAGATTTAGCAGCATGTAAATCACAAAAACCAATGAGAATTGGTCTAGAGGGAGGGTTAGTCCATTATCATGTGACAAATTAAAGATTAAATTTTTGCTAAGAGAGGTGTTCATGTTTAGTGGCCAACGATATCTCGACATAGTTGTTTTCAATAAGAGAATAATTGTTGAACAAATAATTTTCTAATCCACCAATATTTGAAAATGTGGATAATAATATTATGGGTTAGAATCAAAATTATTATTATTATTATTTTTTATAGAACAAGGAGCGAGCGTTGTCAATAGTAAATATGATCTCCCTTGATATCTTGAAGGTAAAAGGTAGTCCTCTTCCAATTGAATCCAAAATGTACAAGAGCTATGATTTGAACTTTCAATCACTTGCTTAAATGATAAAAGTTTTTATCACTCTCACCAACAACTTTAGTTGATTTTTTTTTTTAAAATTGAATGTTGATAATTTAAAAATATTACACTAATTAAAAATTTAGGATATCAATTATTTCTTCAAGCAAACTTCCTAGATAAATTTGTTTTTTTAGCTCTAGTTAGATTTTCTTTTATTGAAGAAATGCAAACCACAAATCAAAAGCAATTACAAGATTAGAAGATCCATAAAGGGAACACTTTCATCACTCATTGTCTCATGTGGAAGAGGGGGATGATCAAAGGTACAATAATTAATTTTCAAATTTGAGACATCCTATCTAACCTTATTGAGAAAATGATGATAAACAAAACTTTTCATTAATTAGCTCAAATGATGATTACAAATAATACAACATTCATTTACTTAAAAGGATTACAAATCATTCAACCCATTTGGGTGATGAACAAACCCCATCTTGGAGACTAACTTGAGATGGGGACCTTTGTTAACTTTTCTTTTGAACATGGGATACAACCCTCTTAACTCAATATAATGATGTGATTCCTTTAAATAAATTTAGAGATACCAACTAACTAGGTGATTGAATACTAATCACATTCTAATATTCCAACAAACTTGTTAGTTAGAATTTTTCAACCAACTATTAATGTTGATTAAATGGTACTATTGAGCAACTTTACGCTAATTTTAAAACTTTTAGAGTAATATTATATGGATTAAAAATTAAGAATACCCATTGTACTTAGAAGGAGAACTTTTAAGACATTTTCCACTTAACTCTAAATCAAAAGGATTAGCAAAAAGAAAATTTGTTTAGTGGAAACCAAGATGTAAGGTAACGAGAAAAATTAAAAGGAAGGGCAAAGAAAACAAGTTTAAAACTTGAAAAAGTAATGCTCCATTTGGATGAGGAAAAAAGAAAGATAAAAAGAAAAATTGATATTAAAAAAATTGGAGATAATCTTATCGCGATTTCTATTTGGATGAAAAAATGACAACGGAGGGTAAAGAAAGTAGGAAAATTATTATTGATGGTACTAGGATCTTTCGGTCTATTGCACCGGGCCCTCCCCGTGTTTTCTAATGAAAACTCTTTCACTATGTTATTATGTTTATGTTTTTAACATGAAATAGAGAAGACGGTTCCCTCAAGAATGTGGAGATGATGAGTTCGATACTGTTAGACCGTAACAGTGTTGAGAAGGTGGTTCAGAACCAAGGTGATCAGTGCAGGTCGGAAGCTAGAAGTGATTGGAGCTCGTAAGTGGGCCGGCTTGATTTTTGTGAATTTAGGGTCAAAAGCCCAGTTACCATAAAATTCATCATCTCTTTAAACCTGCCCTTATTCATCAAGCTTTTTTATTACTTTAAATTTTTTATATTATAATATTACATAACCTTTCTCTAGAATACAAATTATAATCTAAAAAAAATAAGTAGTATATATTCTAATTTTAAAATTAAACATATTAGTCTAATTTTAATTTAAAAATTGATAATATTTTTTTAAAGATAAAACAAAAAAGGATCTAAATAGACCACCAAAACTCGATCATTTTTTTATAAGGCTTAATAGAGTTGAGTTTAAAAGTTTAGTTACAAATTTTTTTGAATTTTTAAGCTTATATCCTTATAAAAATAAATTTAAACGAGCATGCTTGTCAAACTCACTCATAATCCAAACTTTTGGTTGGATTTGGAATTAAGTTAGTCAAGAGAAGAGGAGTACAATATTGGAATAAAGTTTTTCTTCTCACAATTGGATGGAGAAAAGTGGTGGAATCCACTCTTTACCTTCTTTCCTATTTTTCTTTAGGAAAATCTCACCTAGGGCCTTCAAGGGAAATATAAACTGCACTTAGAACCCAATATACTATGATATTATTCTGCAAGTCAATGGGTCCTTTTTGCAAATATATTTTTGGGAGAAATGACACAATTTCTCTTAGTGAGAACAAGCAACAAGTACAAATTTAAATTTTTATAACTATATGTTCACAAATACAACTTTAGGTTTTTATATTAATAAATAATTATCTATTGGAAGTGAAATTATTGTGTAAGGTTGACATGTTCGTCTTGGCCAACTTAGTAAATTCACATATTAAAGTTCAAATATTTACTAGTATAGGTTTATTTATTTACAAGTCAAAGTCTAGAATTTATAACTCATATATTCAAAACTAAGATTCATCATAACAAAAAGTTTAGATTTTTACAACTATATATTCATCAAGTCATAATTTTAGGTTCACATATTAAAAAAGAATTGTTCATTGGTAGTGAAATTCTTATTTAGGATTGATAAATTTATCTTAGCTAACCTGATCAATTTACAACTTAAAATTCAATTATTCACAAGAATATGTTTATCTACTCACAAGTCAAAATACATAATTTATGATCTCATCTATTCAGAATTGAAGTTCATCATGATAACAAGTTCATATTTTTATAATTGGAAGTTTATAAATTCATAATTTTATATTCACATATTACAAAATAATTATCCATTGATAGTGAACCCAAAGTTCTTTATTTTTCACCAAGGGCAATTATGTTTTTTTCTTCCTAAAACATATTTGCCAAAAAAAAAAATCCTTGAACTTGCAGAATAATTTTAGAATACATTAGATCCTAAGTGCAATTTCTTTTCCTTTGGAGGTGTAGATAAGATTTTCTCTTTTTCTTTTCTCTCAATTTTCTCTTACTAACTAAACAAGGAAAGTGTTTTCTCCCCCCCCCTTCTTTTTTTTTTTTAGTTTTCTTTCTCTCATATTTTCCTTCCATCCAAACCCAAACAAGAGGTAAGGGAAATATTTGAGATGTATGTTGGGGTGAGAAAAATAAGCTGTTTGATACCCTGAATAAATGATATCCTCTATTTGGACAGAGTGTTTTCATTATGTATGGAGAGTCATGTTTGACAAAGATCTCAAATGTGAATCTTCATTGTGCTTTGATTTGAACAAAAATGAATTAACAAACATGATTGTTGAATAAGCCACATCAAATTGAAACTTCAATAAAATGAGAGGCAAAAAATTGAAATAAGCACAAAAATAAATGGACATTTCTTTTTGAGTTAAAGTGGAATCATTTATTAATCAAAATTCAGAACTGTACAAAAGAACAAAGGGGAGCCAACAAAATTACATCAAAATTTTAAAGGTGGGAAAAATCCCAAGAGTATGGTCAACTGTATCTCTAATGTGTATTAAAAAAGTATCAACAGTAATAGTCTCGCCATTGAAGATGCTTAAGCCAAGCTTCCATGAAATATCCAACAACGGAGATGGTAGGTTATCACTCATCAAGGAAAGAGCATTCTTCCTATACAAGTCAGCGTATATATCAGATGGCAATGGCAGGACCTTCTTCCAAACCTGAGCTGCAAATGGGCACTCTTTGAGAACATGGTTGATGTCTTCTGTTGGACTATTGCAGAGAGAGCACTGCTGATCATTTGTCATCATTCCTCTAAAGCATTCAGCATTTGGGAGTAGCCTCCCTTTAAACATTAGCCATAGAAAAGTTCTGACTCGTTGAGCTGCAAGTAGTTTCCAAACATGTCTCCAAAGGCCATCAACATCATTCCAATCAAGTGATTGTAAAGCTCTGTAAGCTGATTTCACACTAAATTTACCATTACCATTGAATGTCCAGCTACAAGGTCATGGGGCGGGGTTGTTGATTTCAATGGAGATAGCTCTGATCTGATCAAGGGTTGTCTTTGGTAACAGAGCCTGGAAGAGATGCCATTTCCCAAGCCCAAAATAAATGGACATTGATCTCATCTTTCATCCAATCAAGCATTGAGGTTGTTTCAAGCATGATTGATATATTAATATCAGATGACAGACTTGGTAA